GTGTGTGTGTGTGTGTGTGTGTGTGTGTGTGTGTGTGTAAATTTCTGTTTTTGTCTCCAGTCAGTCAGAATTTGTTTTCCAAGATTAGCAAATCCAGCAGAGATCCTACAGAGTCCTGCAGATTCAAATTCAGGAGAGTTTTATTCATGGTCATTTTAAGAAACTGAAAGAAAGCCTGGTTGTATAGAAGCAAAATATTAAAGAAATGCTGAATGACTAAATTTTGTACAATGGCTTTGGTTCAGAAATACTCACTGGATAAGTGCAGCAAGAATCCTTCACTACAAGATCAAGCAATAAAACGGAAGTTAGCATTTCTAAAATTTAATGTATTTGTTGATTTATTGAGTTTTTTCCCCTCGGTATCATCATATGTTAAAGAAAAATCATGCCTGTCACTGTACAAAGTTAATAAATCTGAAAATACAACACTGCAGCCAACATGTTCACAGTAGTTGCAGTTTCAGCCTGTGGCCGCTAGAGGCAGCCGAGTCTCCGCTTCACTCCTCTGAAGTCTTGTGCGCATGCGCGTGCGTCAGTAAGGAAGGAACCTCTCTCCAACATGACGGCGACCATAGACAACAGCAATGCTGCACAGGCGACAAAGAAAAAGCACCTCGGGATCCCCGAAGCAGTGTTCGTGGTGCGTACAACCTGACAGTCCTCACGGTTTCACCTATTTACTGTGAGATTAGAGTGTGGTGCCTGGWGCCGGTGTGTCGGCGGCGTCATTTTGACCGAGAGCTAGGCGGCTAAGCTAGCGGTGGAGCTAACAGCCGATCCTGCTGTGTGTGCATGTTGGGCGGCTGCTCGCTTCCATCTATGGGCATTACTGTTCCTTTCAGATTAGTTTGTGTGTTTTAAGAGATTATTGGGTTTTTTTCCCCGTGTTTTGGGAGCAAACGAGCTGACCTGAAATTTTCTTTATATATTGTTTACTCGTAACATTAACAAGTCTATGATTATACATAGTTTACAGTCAGTATTACAGTTTAATATGATCATGTACATGCTGCTGGCTTACTGTCAGGTTTACTATAACATCTTTATAAAAAATGTCAAGTAATCAACTGGAAACATTTCTGGTGAATTCATTATAATTTAACTTAGTATGACCTATACAGTGTATAACTTTATAGTTTTGTTTTGCAATTTTTTTTACTAAGTACCCATTTTATTAAAATCTCATAACAAGATAAAAGTGGTAATTTGGTTATTAAAACTTCTAGCTATAAAGACAGTCTTCTCCACGTTTATGTTTTAGGTTGATGTATGTTTCATRTATCTTAATTTGGATCTTGTTTGCAGTATATATCTGTGTATTGATTGATTTATTAATTGTTAACTGTTTGACAAAAAATAAACATGATGTATAAAATACTAACTTGAATTTGAACTTATTGTTTGATTTAGCATAATGTTGAATTTGAGTTTGAAAAGCAGCGAGCATCGGTGTCCAAACAAACGTCTGATCTCAGAGTCGAGCAGCCAAAATACTGAACTCATCACTTAAACCAGCACGCTGTAAGTCACGTGTTGTTAAGTATTAGGAGTTACCATTAGGGCTGTGTATTGGCAAGGATTTGGCGATATGATACATATCATGACAGAAGGGTCACGATACGATATATCCCGATATAATTCGATACTGTAAACAAAGCAATATTTTTGGTCCAAAAATTCTATTAAATAAAAACCTCTTACTGGGAAAAAACCCGAAAAACCAAAATTCATTGTCTCAGAAAATTCTAATATAACATAGACATACTTTTGATACATTTAGCTGTGTTCTGCTTTGTATGTGTTTTATTTTATTTGTTTCATACTAAATTTGCCAATAAATAGTTTGGAAATATATTTTTTGCAGCTTTTCATTTTTAATATTAATTTACAATATGGTCATCAAACACTTAAAAATAGCCTTTATGTTGTCATTTGTCTTAAAATACAGACATTCTGACAAATAAGTAACTGTTTGTAACCTTACCTCAGCTTAGAAGGCAGAGGGTGTCGGTCTTTTCCCCTCAGATTCAGCTATCGGAGCATGAAGCTAATGTTTACTCACAATGCTAATGATCTCTTACTCTCTGGCGCTCAAGAGGWAGAGGAGCCAAATGGCTGGCTCACTGCTGCCAACTAGTGGTCAGAGGCTGAACTACAACATAAAAATGAACGGYTGGCARGAARGTTGACRTTTTAAACCTTAATWAAAAATCGATACAGGCCTTTAGAATATCGATACAGTATCGGGAAATGAAATATCGCGATATGTCAGTGTATCGATATTTTCTTACACCCCTAGTTACCATTAGAACTGTGACGTTCACAAATGAGCTGAATGTTTCTGAACTGCTCCTTTTTGCTTTTCACTTTGCTTATTATTCACCTTTTTAAATATGTTTACTTTGTCATATTTCTTGGGGGAGGGGTGGATGTCACATGTGCCYTTGGGTGAACTCTGCTGCAGCACTAACGCTCAGAATAAACCCGACACGTTGAGGTTTAGAGAGTAATTTATTTTTCTCAGTGTTTCCTCATTAACTTATGGTCCATGTGGACTCTGGCCTGCTGTATTTTACAGGAGGACGTGGACTCCTTTATGAAGCTGCCTGGGAACGAGACGGCCGACTCCGCGCTAAGAAAGCTTGACGAACAGTACCAGAAGTATAAATACATGGAGCTCAACCTGTCTCAGAAGAAACTCCGGTAACACAAACATACCACCAGTTTTTACACTTACAGATCATCTGCACAGTAAAAACTGCATTTAAGCTACTTGTTTCAAGCCAAATAACTATTTGTTTTTAATAATAAGGTTATTACTGCCTGAACATTTTTTCTTTATTTACTGATTTATTTTTGCCCTTAGGTTGAAAAACCAGATCCCACAAATCACACAGACACTAGAAATTCTACGACACATGCAGAAGAAAAAGGTAAGACTCGTGTAAACCAGCTTTTGTCACTGTTGTAATCCACTTTGTAAAATGTTTTTTTAAATAAAACACAGCAGGAAATCTGAATTATTCTGCTCAGGCATCTTTACAAAGTCTGAAAACAGGATTGACTGATTTTAAACTTGAMTAACCTGTCACTGCTGTCTTTCAAAATCATGTTTGTTTTTGTGAAAATGAGCTTCAAAATGCATTAAATGTTGCACATGTCGCATTGTGGACAAATTCATACAAACGTGTCCATTTATGGGAATTTTTCAGCCAAAGTGACACAAGTGAAAACAGCTAATGTTAACCAACTACATGGTGTGTCTTATTAAGAGAATAAAAGGTTTTTTTAAATGATTTTGTTAACGCAGGATACCACAGAATCAATGGAAACACATTTCCTCCTGGCTGACAACGTTTACTGCAAGGCCTCCGTGCCGCCCACCGACAAAGTTTGCCTATGGTTAGGAGTGAGTAGAAGCTCAGGATAACGTTTCATTTGATCACCTTGACTTAATTTTAAATTTTTGAGTTATATTAAACAGCTTTTCGGGACTGAATGCTCTCCTCCCGCCCCCTTTTTTTCCTCCCAGGCTAACGTCATGTTAGAGTACGACATCGACGAAGCTCAGGCGCTCCTGGAGAAGAACTTGTCCACGGCGTCCCGCAACGTGGAGACCCTCGAGGAGGATTTAGACTTCCTGCGAGACCAGTTCACCACCACTGAAGTCAGTATCCTTCCATGGTGGGGTCTGTCTGATGGCAGCAGTTTCAGGGCTGCTGCTGCAGTTTATTGCAGCACATGCAGTAGGAGAAAAAGTATTTAGTTACCCAGCAACTGTACAAGTTCTCCCACTTAAAAAGATGAGAGAGTCCTGTAATTGACATCATAGTTTGACCTCAACTATTTTATTTTATTTAACCTTTATTTAACCAGGTAGATCTCATTTTTGTTTAGGTTTTCTTGTTTGTAGGTTATTATTGTTTAAAAATTTAATTTTGGGAAGAAAAATGTGCAGATACTATAAGATTTTTTTTCTTCTTTCTGCCGCCTTTCATTTGTGATTTGTATTTTTATATAAATTTATTTTGTTTTTAAAGAAATGAATAAAGTTTGAAAAAAAAACTCTTTTTCAAGAGAGAGCTGGTCAAGAAAGGCAGCAGCACACAGGTATGACAAAATTCAAAACTATAAATATTAAACTACAATCAAATACTTCATGCTAAATAAAAGAAAAACAAGAAACACTCATAAAAGGTAAGAGAGGGGTAAAATAGAGTACAAAACCAGTAAAAACATTTACAAACAAATGTCTTAGGTACAAACTGATTAAGAATGGCCCTAAAAACATTAAAAGAGACCAACTCCTTCATCTTCAAGTCTTTCTGCAGTAGATTGCAGGCAGAGGGAGCAGCGAAGTGGAAGGAGCTTTTGCCATAATCATTGCGAACCTTAGATTCATCAAAAACAAAACCCAAGTATTTATACTGAGATACCAATTCGATCTGAGAGCCTTGAAATGTGATGATGGGCGGCAGCAGATGTGGTTTAGACTTTGGTTTAGTGTTAGAAAACAGCATTACTTTAGATTTCTGAGAATTCAAAACAAGTTTTAGCTGACATAGATTTGATTGAACCACATTAAAAGCAGCTTGTAGTTTTTCTAAAGCACTTTGTACTGAGTTAGCTGCACAATACAAGACAGTCATCAGCATAAAAATGAAAACGAGCAAATGGCACATTGTTATCTAAACTGTTAATATAGATTATAAAAGGAGCGGAACTAGGATAGAGCCTTGAGGAATACCATTGAAAGTTTGAAGACAAGAGGAAGAAAGACCTTCCACCTGCACACTTTGTGATCTGTTGGACAAGTAGTTTGTAAACCACTTGACTGCTTGCTGAGAGTCTGATGTCAGAGAGCCTCAACAATATTCCATGATCAACTGTATTAAAGGCTTTTGATAAATCCAGAAATAGGGCTTCAAAATGTTGCTTTTTATCTAAAAAAACCAATAACATAATTTAATACTTGCTGTAGTGGTCAGTTAAAATACTATTAGAGGTTAAAAAGTCTTTCAATTGTTCACTGATTAAAGACTCCAGAACTTTGGCCAGTACAGACAACTTAGAGATCGGCTTGTAGTTGTTCAAATCAGTCGGCCTCCTGCCTTTAAAGGGATCCATGATTAGTTGTAACATTAGACTTTATTCAATAAACATATATTTTAACTGTAAAATAAAGACTGTAAAAATACTGTAGGCTGTTTAGTTCTTTGCATTTTTAAACTAAAAGTTTAAAAATATATTACACGGACAGGGCCATTTTATTTACGCGCAAAGCATTCTGGGTAAATGATGACGTGGATAGGTCCTCAGTGCGAGGCTGCTAGCGAGCTACAGTGGTTTGCAAAAGTATTCATACCCCTTGAAC